ATATTCCATGGCTCTTGAGATAACATTGTTGCTATCAACTGAGTTACAAAGATTATGAAAGGTGTTTCCATTCTTATTTAGCCAAAGAAGCCAGAGAGCAAAGGAAAAGAGACAGTCCCATGTTAGAGAGTGGCATGTGATTTGAGGTTTTTGCTTGTAGAGGCTATCTAGCCAATGTGCAGATTAGGTGTCAACTGTTTGTATGCTAATACCTAGAGATTCCCATAAATGTTTGGCTATTACGCATAAGAGAAAAATATGTTGTGGAGTTTCCTCAGTGGTGGGACAAACTGGGCAGTGCAAAGAAGTGGCAATACCAATGTGACTTAAATATGTTTTAGTAAATAATCGATTATGGTAGCATTTCCATAGGAAATACTTAATCTTATTCCAAGTTTTCAGTTTCCAAAGCCAAGCAAAGTTTTTACTTTGGGTTTGAGTGGTATTAGAGGTTATAAGAGGGTACACAGATTTTGTGCTAAAGATTCCATCTATGGTGGGAGTCCATATCGGAGTATCAGTGCGATTGTAGTCATTGGGGTTTGGAGGGAGTGAATTTCAGTTAAAATATGTGATGGGAGCTCAAAAGAGAGTTGTGACAGGTTCCATGAGTTGTTAGAGAAAATGTTCGAAATTTTAAGAGTTGAGTCCTTGTATGATAGAGGACCTTGGATCATACTACGTAGGCTTTTTGTACAAGGCAACTAATTTGCATGCCAAAAGTCCACATTGGAACCATCTCCAATATGCCAGACAATAGCATCTTTGCAAATGGTCCATCCTGTGAGGATATTTTTCCATATGAAGGAGTGAGATGTGTTTGAGGATCGACCAGCATATTTGGAATTGAGAACTGCAGCCCAAATAGTAATGGGATGACTAAAGAATCGCCAAGTGAGGTTTGTAATAGCAACTTTGTCTTTATCAGAAGATTTTCTTATGCCTAGACCCCCAGCATGTTTGAGCAATGAGACAGTGTCTCATTTAATGTAGTGGATTTTCTTGGAGATTTGGTTACTACCCCACAAGAAGTCACGTTGAATTTTATCAATTTGATGGCGAGTATTTTTGGGCAACATTGTGTATTGCATAATGTGGTTTAGGAGGGCATTGAGGGTAGTTTGAACAAGAGTAGCTCTCCCCGCTAGTGATAGGAATTGGGTTTTCCAACTAGTTAGTCTTTTATTGAGGTTGTCAAGGATAAATGTGTAGTCTGTTGGTTTTGGTTTGTTAGCCAAAATTGGAAAGCCCAGGTATTTCCCAAAGTTGTCACTAACTTTGATATTAAGGATGGTAGAAATGGAATTTTTCAGAGTAATAGAGCAATTCTTTAAGAAGAGTAATTTAGACTTGGTGTGATTTATTTTTTGCCCTGATAATGTACTAAAGTAGTCAAGACATCGCTTGATTGTTTTGGCAGATATCTTATTGGCTGCTGCTATTAGGGTTAAATCGTCCGCAAAAAAACAAATGGGAGAGGGGTGGCCCTTTTGGGCTAAACTTGATAGGATCCCAAAGAGTTAAGTTAATTTGGTGATTTATAAGGAGGGATAGCAGTTCAATACAAAGGATAAAAAGGTACGGGGACATAGGGTCACCTTGTCTTATCCCTCTTGATGGCTTGAAAAACTCTATTTGGGATCCATTTACAAGGATACCAATTTGGGAGGTACTAATGAAAGCCATGATGAGTTTAGTGATTCTGGGTGGGAAGTTAAAGTAGTGCAAGACTCTACGGATAAATGACCATTCAAGTCAGTCAAAACCCTTTTCCAAATCAATTTTAAGGAGGATTTTCCCCTTGGTGCCTTTAATTTTATTGTAGTGGTGAATAATTTCTTGAATGAGTATAGCATTATCAGCCACCCGTCTTCCTTTAAGGAAGCTTGATTGAAAAGGGCCTATTAGGTTATCCAGAAAAGATTTGATACGATTGACAATAATTTTAGTAATGACTTTATAAAATGTATTGCAAAGCCCAATAGGTCTGAAATTTGTAAGCTCATTAGCATTAGGGAACTTGGGTATTAGACAAAGAAAGGTAGTATTAAGTTGCTCTGGGATGGTGAGGGTTTCAAAAGATAGAGTGATAGTAATCAAAAACCGATTTATTAACAATGTGCTAATATTTCTGGTAGAAGAATGGGTATAGCCCATCCGAACCGGGAGCTTTGAAAGGTTTAAAGGAAAAGATAGCCCTAGTGATCTCATAATTTTGTAGCGGTTTATCTAGGGCTAACAGATCAGTGTCTGATGTGGAAATTGGGGAGGCTTGAATGCTTACCCAATTTGATGATTCATGACTTGTTTGATAGGTGTTTTGGAAATATGTGAAGGTGTGTTGAAGGATTTTATCAGGAGCATTAATCCAATTGTTATGTTCATCCTTAAAAAAAGAGATACGATTTTTCCTTCTCCGATTTAGAACACTTATGTGGAAAATTTTAGTACTTGCACCCCCTTCACTAAGCCAATTAATACGCGCCCTTAGTGTTCAATAATCATCCTCAACTTTTAAGAGATTTCTATACTCGTTAGTGAGGGTTTGTTCAAGATTCTGCAAGAAGGCACTCGTAGGATAGTGAGTGGATTTTTGAATCCCACTAATTCTTACTAGGATTGTTTTCTTTTTGTTAATAACTTTACCAAAAGTTGTGGCAGCCCAGTTTTCAACTTTGGTAGTAAAAAAGGTGGTAGTATTAGATAAGTTATGGCCAGTCCAGGTGTCCATGACAATAGAATTAAATTCCGGATGATGGCACCAATAGGTTTCAAGACAAAAAAATATGTTGAGTGGAACCTAGTGTGGTGGAACAGTGAAAATATGAGGGGTGTATGATCGGAGTACGTCTTAGGAAGATGGGTAACAAATGCATCAAGGTAATATTCTAGCCATTGTTCATTAATAAACACCTATCGAGTCGTTCAAGAATTAAATCGGAGCGATTATGTCTATGATTGGACCACGTGTATTTTGCTCCTTTAAGACCAAGGTCTATAAGTTGACGGTGGTTAATACATGATTGAAAACGTGAGGCTCTATTGCGGTTAATAGGTCGGCCTCCCCATTTATTCTGTTGACTAGCCACTTCATTAAAATCACCACCTAGGAACCACATTCCTTTATAGTTATTAGCAATATTTTCTAGGTTAAGCCATAGTTGAGACCTAATATTCACTTTAGTACTAGCATAAACGGTACTAAATAACCAAGGTTGGTGATGTGGGAGTACCTGGATCATGACATGAATTTCATGACCATCAAGGCATATATGACTGAGCTGGACAGTGGTGTCGTGCCACGGGATGGCAACTCCCCCAGATTGACCTTGAGCAGGGATCTATATTGAAAAAGTGAAACTCATCTCTAATGCCTATATGATTGGACATTCGAACTTCAAGAAGGGCAACTAAAGAAGGGTTGTGAGTATTGAGTAAATCCCTGAAATGACGCTTGAATTCGTCATTGTTACCACCCCTGATGTTCCAAATGACAATTGGGGAGTCTATTCATTGAGGGATCTTGAGGGGGGGGGGGTATGATACTGCCCTTCACTGATGGGATTAATATGATTGCGAAGTTGCCTACTGCCTCGTTTAGTGGAGGCCTGATGTCAAGGGAACATTTGTATAGTTCCAGTGGGCACTTGCAAACAAACTTCTTGTCCTCCATTTTCGTAAATAGCATGATCTTGACCACGTGCATGTTTGAAATTTCTGTGAACGATATTATGTTTAGTAGTGGGATGATTTGTTCTTGCGCCACCATTTCTTGTTCTCCTTGTACAGGTGCATTGTGATGGACATGAGGTTGTGCTTGGTGAATATCTATCGGAGGTGGGAAGTGTTGTGGCACAGGTTGCCATGCATGGATCNCTGATAGAGGAGCTGCATGTTCTACAGTGGATTGTAATGGTGTGGAAGATTCCAGTGGGCCTGCATGTTGTGAAGAAGAGCAGGAGCTAACGCTAGAGCTGTGGGGTCTAGAACATTTGTCAACCAAAGGTGGTTGATGCAGTTTGACATCGCTAGCCTCATGCCTTCTGAGATTAGTTGTGCTAGAATCTGAGGGTTTTGAAAGACAAATAGAACCTCTTGGTTCTGAATGTTCAGAGTGAAGAAAGCTGTCTGGCCCTGAAGCCCTTGTTCTAACCATGTCATTAGTTGATGATCCTATAGGAGGGCATTGTTGACATAGATCGGGAGATTGGGGTTTGGTATTTGGTTGTCTATTCTGGACAGTATGGATGGACGTTGGTGAGGGGGAAGCTGAGGCGGTATTCTCCTACGTGTGAGGGGTTGTAGTGGATTCATATTGTGAAGGGGAAGATGTAATGACATGGAGGGATTGGGGTTTGTGAGGGAATGATTGAATATCTATTATAGGAGATTGAGTTTGCATATTTTGATCAATTACTTCCAACCATGGGTTATCCGTAACTGGGGAATTGGTTTGCATGGCCACGTGGCAAGAAGTAGATGACATGTCATCTAGGGATGTATTAGGGGAATTATGAGTCATTAGTAGAAGAGGAGATGTCATGCTTGTTAGTTGATTAGGGGTGGGGCCGCTGTTTTACTTAGAGTGGTATGGCCGCATGCAGCCTTTTGGCCACGTGGAGACCCAAGTTGGGGAGTAGGGGAAGGGTTTCGTGGAGGAAAAGAATGAGCGAGATCTATGGATTGGTTATGGTTTTTTCCATCCAAATATATTAGGACAGATTCATCCACAGGTGGTAAAACATTATTTTCAGTGTGTAGAGATGAAAACTTATTAGAGGTGTGAATAGGCATGTTAGTATTTGTATTAAGACTGTTAGTCTTTTTAAAAGATTTGTAGTTTGTCCCGTTCTTGGACAGTTGATCAGTAGTATCAGTGTTTTTAGGCTTAAAAGCTAGTTTTTGAGTATTTAGAAATTTACCTGATGCTGCATCAAATATATTGACATTGATACCTGGTGGTGTTCCTTAATTTTGACTTGTGATGAATTGGCAGTGTATCATTTTTGTTTGTTTCCTTTGGGAAATGAGACTGTTTTCCATAGATCCTCATCTGCTTTCCCCTTGCCTGTGGAGTTGGAGGAGATAACCCAGGGGTCTTCTTGTGTCTGATTCAGTGTGTCTATTGTAGAGTAGAAGCATGATGGTATTGTGTGACCCAGTCTACCACAAGCCTTACATAAAAAACTCTCACCTTCATACAGTAGTTGTTGTATATGATAGCCAATTTGAATTGCAGTTTGGACGGGATGGTCTAGTGGTACTTGCACACATAGTCTCGCATACCTTCCTCTGAGTGTTGAGCTTGTACAAACATCTATGCATAACAGCTTGCCAATTGAGTTTCCAATCCTTTCAAGCACTATTCCATCATAGAACTCTGTGGGTAATTGTAGAAGGCGAACCCAGACAGCTGAGTGGACTTCTTTATCTTTGATAGCAACAAAATTAGGCTCCCTCCTTCGAACAGAGAGGTAGTGTCCATTGATACACCAAGAGGCATGTTGTAGAGCCTTTGCCATGTTTTCTTCCTTGGTAAACTTAACTACATAGAAGTCTGATCCTAAGTCTATTAACGGAAAGGGTTCATTTGGTTTCCAAAGGTCTTGAATCTTTTTTTAAGGTACTGGTGGATGACTCTTTTACCCAAGAGTTTGATTATCATAGAAAACTGCCAGGGTGTGTACATTCTTCCTCCGTCTTCATCTGTTAGAGAAATTTGGTATTATCTTTGTTCTATCTATCTTATTAAATTATTCCTAAGTTTTGTCAAAGGAAAAAAATCTTGTCGATATTATTTAATTGCTCATAAATTTTTGCTGAGCGATCAAAACTTGGTACTATCTTCATTCTACCTATTCGGTCAAATAATTCACAAGTTTTGATGGATTGGTAAATCTTGCATGTACTATTCATTTCTTCAAAAGTTTTGTGAGATGGCAAAAACTAGTTACTATCTTTCTTTTACATATCTTGTTAAATTATTTACAAGTTTTATCAGATAGGCAAATCAGTCTAAAATATTCAATTATTCATAAGCTTCATTAGACTTTATTCATATTTGTAACTCATTTATCCTGTAGTTTGGTACTATTTCTTTTTCAATTTCATCAGTTGAAACAAATACAGGAATTGTATAAAATCTTTTTCCATCTAATCCGTTAGAATTGCCAAATGTGATTTGTTGATATTTGTAAATTGAGTACTTCAGGGTCTAGTCCACAATTTCCATTTTAATCCTTTGTTGGCTAAAGATAGATTGAAGATGTAAATTTTACTTTATCAAAAGAGATGTTGTGCATATAAGAACAAGTGTAAAGAATAAAAGCTGAATTATGTTTATTAAATTGATACAACGTTTAAATACAAGAATGAATAACTACTTCCCTAAACTAACTCCCCCGGAAGAGGAGAACCAAACTAATTTCTAAACAAAATCCTTGAATAAGGAGATTTATTGGAGAACATAAAGGAATAACAAAATCCTAACTACTAACTGAAAAAGTGGTCAAAGCACTAATCTGAGCATGGTAAACCAATAGTTAACTTGTGCTCTAAGATAGTCCCTAGTAGGTAGTGCGTAACAACGCCTGGCTTGAATAAGTATATGTCAAAGGTTGGCTTTGGTAGAGATTTGGTGAGAGTATCCACGAGTTGATCTGCAACACGAATATGAACAATGTGAACTTAATTCTGTTGGACTTGCTTCCGAACAAAGTGAAAGTTCACAATATTATGCTTTATGCAAATATAGAATACTGTATATTGGTACAGATAAGTTGCACTAACATTGTCACAATAAATGGTTGGGTCTTGTGGAACTCAAACATATAGTTCTTTTAGCAGATTCGTGACCCAATTTATTTCAAGAAGTGAATTTCAACCGCTCGATACTCTATATCTGTTGATGAGCAAGCAATTGTTCTTCATTTCCTGGATGACCAACACACAGGATTTTGTCCAATAAACATATGTAACCAGTAGTGGAAGCTCAATCACTCACATTCCCAGCTCAATTCGCATCAAAGTGCATGTGTTTCTTGAAATTATTATCTCTTTGATGCAAAGACCAAACTGAATTATTCCTTAGAGATATATGAGTACTTGTTTGACTGCTTTCTTGTGTACTTCAGACGGGGAGTGTATAAATTGAGACAATCTATTCATAGAGAAACTTATGTCTAGACGAGTGAACGATAATTACTGGAGTTTTCCAAGAAATCTCCTTTAGCGAGTAGCATCAGTTAGTTTCGCTCTATCATTTAGTTGTAGAACTTCAGTGGCACTCATTGGGGTTTTTTGCTGCATTATAGTCTTTTATGTTTTCTTCAGAGGGAATTTTATTGATGTAATTTGACCGTAATAAAGTAATTCTATCTGCAACATGGAGCACCTCAATTCCAAGGAAAAAGTTTAGATTCCTGAGATCCTTAATGGAAAAACGTCTGGCAAGACAAAAGATAACCTAATTTACATATTAGATATAGTTCTCGATGATGATGATATGAAACGACAGGGATGGTTGTTTTGAGTATTTTAGCCCCATTTTTGCTGTTTGATTTTTTTACATATGTGTATTTGTGATTATGTGACTTGCGTGAAAGTTTGGTTTGGTTCAGGGGAGTTCTGGATTTAATTGAGACACTTAGTCCTTTAGTTGAAGGTTTAAGTTGTAAGAGATGAACGAAGTTTGAATTTGGAGGTTCCTAGGTTGTTTTGTCTTGAACAGGCAACAAATGGAAAGTCGAAAGTTTCGAAGGTTGATAGGTTTGACCGAGAGTTGACTTTGTTGAAACTGGGTTAGTTTTTTGGTTCTGGGAGTTGGGATAGGTCAACTGTGTCATTCGGGACTTTTGAGGTCATTCTGAGTTGTTTAGGCATGTTCGGTGTAAGTTTTGAATTTGTAAATTTGGATTTGGTTCCCAAACTTGAATTGAGGTGAGATTCGTCATTTTAATATTGTTTGGTGTGATTTGAGGTCTCGAATATGTTCGTGTTAGGTTTTGGGATTGGTTGGTGTGGTTGGAAGGGATCTTGGGGGCCTCGGGGGTGTTTAGGATGGGTTTTGGAGCATTTTCTCTTATTTTGGACTATTGATTTGCTGATGTCTAGTTTCCTTCATTGCATCGCGACAAGGCAGTCGCGTTCGTGGAGGGTATTTTGATGGTAGATGTGTTTGTTATTCATGTTCGCGAAGGAGAGACCTCATTCGTGGAGCTTGGCGAGGCAGTGGCCTTCGTGATCGCGAGATGGGTGATGCGCTCGCGTAGAAGGAGGGGTCGATTGAGGCATCATGCATTTAGCCTTTGCGATCAGGAGTGGAGGACATCGTTCACGTAGGCTCAGTAATGGTAGTGCATTGCGTTCGTGACAAGGAACTCGTGTTTGCATAGGGTTTCTCTGAGATGGCGTTTGGTTGTGCTTCGCAATCGCAAAGTGGGTCCCGCAATCGTGAAAGGTATGCCCGGGCAGATCTTAAGTGTTACATTTTCAAGGGTTTTAGTCATTTTAACCTATTTTGAGATATAGAGCTCGAATTTGGGTGATTTTTGAGGAGATTTTTATGATTTGGATTGGGTTAAGTGTTTTTTACTCGGATTTGTCCATTATTCATGATTCCAACCTTGATTTTTGTGTTTGATTAGTGAATTTAAGTGAAGAAATTAGGAATTTTAATAAAAATTGATAATTTGAGGATCAATTTGAGGCTGAATTTGGATGAAACACATGTATTTGGACTCGTATTAAAATAGGTGTTTGAAATTGGTTGAGGTTTGTAAAGTTCCGAAGTATGAGCTCGGGGTTGACTTTGCATAATTGAACCAAGATCTTAGCTTTATTGTTTGATTTTGTTTCATATGACTTCTATTAATATTATTAAGTTATTTTGGCTAGATTCGAGTCGTCCAGTGGTTGATTCGCTCGGGAATGGCTACTTAGAGTATTGATTTGGCTTGCGTGAGGCAAGAATCTCACCTAAACTTAGTTGAGGCACTAGTTGCCTAAGTTATTTGTGATCGCTACATGCTATGGGTGGCGCACTTGTGTGGGGTTGGGCCCATGTGCATGCACCATGATATTATTCATGCTGGGGTAAGTGCTTAGGCTATGATATGCCTTCAATTGATTGCTAAGCTTCCTGTTGTGATGCTTCTTATATTTTTATCCCTTTTGTGAGCTATTTGAACCATGTTTAAGATTATACAGAGGTTAATATCTTGATCGAACCTGACAATTTCTACTTTCGTGATGAAATTGCCTGATTTGAGCTATGATAGCACACTTTCATGTGCATACACTTTAACATGTCGCTTATATTGGTCCTGGAGTGTGAAATTGAGATTAATTGAGTTGTCCGTGCAGATTTGAGATATTTTTACTATTAACATATGAGTTATCCGTGCAACACGTGAGTTGTCCGTGTGGATCTAAGATATTGTTATTATCTGCACATGAGTTATTCGTGAGGGTGATATTATCGATACTTGAGTTGTCCGTGCAGCACGTGAGTTGTTCGTGCACCGTATGGGTAAGGATCCATCCCCCTAGGATCACCCTCTCATATTTATCTCTTTATGGTGTACACGTGGTATGAGGAAAGACTAGCTAGTGTTTGATTCGGTTATTGCAGTTCTTCTTTACTTGCAATCTTGGTTGTTTATCAGTTCTATTTGCATATCTTCTTTATATGATGGATTATTGACTAGGTAGAGTACGTTAAGTTATTGCGTGCACCAAGGTGGTTTTTATCTGTGGTGCTTGACTTGATCATATTATTATTCTGTACTTGTTAGATTTATGAACTATACAGGTCAATAGTGAGAATTATTAATAATTCTTACTTCTATTACCTTGCCGAGGTTAGTTATAATACTTATTTGGTATATGGGGTCAGTTGTACTCATACTACGCTCTACACTTAATTGTGCAGATCCAGGTATTGGACCGAGCAACCAATAGCTGAGGCTTGTTGCTGAGTTTAACTTCGAAGAGACGAAGTAGAGTTGCATCTTGACCATAGTCTTGGCGTCTCTTTTTCTTTTAGCACTATTATTTTCAAACGGTGTTGCTATTTGTATTCCAGACTTATACTTCTATTTAGGGCTCATGATACTGTATTTACTAGTTTTGGAGGATTATTGTATTTTGACGTAATTATTTATATTATTGGCATTAGACATGTACTATTTCTATTATTATGATCCGTTATTGTTATACTATGCTTGCCTGGCAAATGCTTTAGGTGCCATCACGACTAGTTGGTGGTTTTGGGTTGTGATAAGTTGGTATCAGAGCCCTAGGTTCATAGGTTCTATAGGTCATGCGCAAGTTTAGTAGGGTCTTGCGGATCAGTACAGAGGCGTCTATACTTATCTTAGAGAGGCTACCAAACTATTAGGAAAAACATCACTTTCTTGCATTCTTATCTTGCCACCAGTGCCACCAGTCAAGGTTGCGATAGGTCGGGGCTGAGTTAAAGGTCGAGGTGGGGCTTGCTCTGCAGTTAGAGTAGCACCTGTAG